AAAGAAAGAAGGTAAATTTTATTTTGGTGGTTCTGCAAATGCAGTCCTTGTTTTGCCCCACTGGATAGATACGGATTTGATTTGCAACTGGTGGGAAGATACGAGGGCTGAAATCTCTGCCTATTTAGATTGATATGAATCAGAAGTAATTCTTCTGGGGCTAGGATATTAGCTAGTGCTAAGCTGGTGCAAATGGAAGTGGGATGAATTTCCACATCAGGAATTGCTCTGCATCAATAGAATAAATGACGAATCTTATTAATTTAATACAAAACCATTAGGAGTGATGGAAGAAAAAAGTAAAGAATAGATTGCCTTGATTTCTGGCTGAGACAGATCTTTTGTTTTGCCTGATTTTAAGATGTTATCACAAGACTTGTCTGTAAATGTTTTGTCTAGTATTTTCTGATTTTTTTAACAAAATGGCATTGGAGAATTTATTAGGAAGTACTTTTAAGTTAGATTCTCTTAAACCCATGGAGAAAGTGGTACTAAGACACAGAACATGAGATATGAGAGGTTTAATACTGCAGGTGTATGTATCTATTTGGCTATACTGGAGTAAATCCCTGATGTCGAGAGAAGTACATTTTGGGCTAAAGAATGGACACCTGTGATCTCCAGGGCCTGAACCTGCTGTTGCTGAAGCTAATGGGAACTTTTCCCAGGACTCAATAAAAAGTGGCCTTGATTGGTTTGGTCTGTAACTAGCATAGCTCTCTATGACTCCTGATATCTCTACAAGGGGAAAACGAGAAAACGTTTCATTTGAGTATATTGCAGTCATTAAAAAATACAATCTGAAGCAATTATAATTTTGTATCTTCTGATGTTCTTGGTATTATATAACCAGGTTGCAACTTTTATTAGGATGTGAACTCCCACTGGGATTAGCTCAGTTGGTCAAAGCCTGGTGCTAATAATGCCAAGGTTGTGGATTTGATCCCTCTATGGGCCATTCACTTAAGAGTTGGACTTGATGATCGTTGTGGGTCCCTTCCAACTTAAAATATTCTGTGATTCTACCCCCAGGCTAAAAGTGGTTTACTCTTTCCTCATACCTCACATATCCCACCAATGTTCACTTTTATGGAAACAACGTCTGTAATGTGTTTGTAGTGCAGGCAGACAGTAGAAATAGAGATAGCTTTCTTTCATTGCTTTCTCCCTGCTATGGCACTTGATATGTATCAAGCCAGTATAGACTGTAGGAGAGAGAGCAAGAAATGTCTTTGGTAGCACGTACCTGCAACTAAATGCAAGGTGTGAGGTGCTAAAGAGCTAATCGGGGGGTTAAAAACATCAGGTTAGCTCTTGATCCAGAAGTGAAGATGGCAACATATTTAGATGCCTTTCCCTTTTTTTGGAAAAAATCCATGAGGAAACTCTGTCCCTCTCCAAAAGGAATGTAACAGAAACCAGAGCCATTGAAGTTAAAGGCAGGAGAACAAGGGCTTTTAATTTACAGACCTGTAAGTAAGGAATTTTTTTACATGGAAATGGGGGGCTTTTCTCACATCCATAGCTCTGTGTCACTCCTGTAATGTAGATGCAGCCAGATGCTGAACTCTATCTCAGTACTATCAATGCAGAGCAGCCTCCTTGGTATTGGTCTGGATTTCCATTCAGGTGGCCAGACCAAGTAATGGAATGAACTACTGGTATTGCCGTAGTTGTTGTGCTCAAGTGTTCCTCCTTGAGTTCATTAGGGAAATTTCAAAGTGCTGTGGATTACACCAGAATAAGTATTTCTATAAAAATTAAAATACTTGGCAAAGTGGATAGCCTCTGTATAGATTTTATTTCTGAAGAAATCCAGAGAAAGAGGAGTTGAAACCAAGTTTCTATCTTTTGAATATTAAATTCCTGGTTTTCTTTTCTACTTCTTTTAAACTTTCTTATTTGAATGTATATTGCTGCACATTTTCCTTGTAGTAGTGTGTTTTAAAGTTATGATGAAAGATTGAATCAGACCATTCTAAATGACGTCTGACTCAAATATTTATGCTCCTACACTCAGATTTAAACTAATGTTACTTTTTCAAAATCCTTTGTGACATGGAAGCTCCCCCCCAGCCCAAGGCTGGCAATGGCCCTTGCTGGGGCTTTGAACTGGAGCAGCAGTGAAGTAAAACACAAACGAAAAGAAGACAATTGTTAAGTATATTCAAAATCCCTGAATGGGGATGTGTGAGACTTTCCAAAAGGTTTGCAAATAATAGCTACTCTGTCTCCTCTCTAGCAATACTTACTGTTCCCTCATCTCTGAGATTACAACAGAATTATTAATTGTTCAAGCTTGGGTTGATTCAGAATTTTCCTGGATATTTTTGTGTTTGGCTGGTCGATGGTTGATGTTGCTATTCAGGACAGCTGATAGTCCTTAAGAATCTACTTGTTTATTCATACTTTGTTTGAAAGATGGAAACATAACATTTGAGAGCTGCTATTTACTAGAACAGTGCATATTTAAACTTTTAAAAACACAATAGCTTTTATAAATAATGGGAAGGGAAAGGTAAATGAAAAACTTTCATACAAAATGAAATTTAAAAAATCAAAAAAGTGCACAAGAACATCAAGTGAATTGCACATGTTGCAGTAAAAAAAAGTACAGTAACCTGGTCATGAAATATTCCTAGAACATTTCACATAAAGTCATCGTCTCTGAAGGAGTCTAACTATCACACTCAGTGAAACAAGCTGCTTTACCTTGCACTAGAATTACTGATCTGCTTACAAAGCCTGGCTTGCCTGGGTTTTAGAAGATTATTCTTTTCACAGTAACTTGTAGATAGATGCATTAAAGGCACATTGAATTTGTGCAGATTCAGTATTGTGCACAAAATAGTATGTCAGTGACTGGAGTGGAGAGGTAGTGGGCTCCATTTCAGTGCAAATAAATGTAAACTGAGTATGTGAAGGTTTGCTTTAAAGATCAAGCAGAAAGGACTTAATAACATTGTAATTACCAGACTCCCCCTCTAACAGGTAGACTCTTCTCACCTCAGTTTCTGTGTGCAGCATGCACTTATCCTTCCCACAGCTGTGTTATGTTCCCATCAGACCAGTGCTCTCTGGCTCACTGACTCCTGCTCAGGACAGGTCGTTGACAGCAACCAGGACATGGGTCTCCCAATAAAAATGAAGGTCTTTTGGTTGAAAGAAGAAATGGGCTTTCTATATTTATCCCCTTCAAATCCAGTTTCATCTTCTCCAAGGACAAAAAATGAAATTGCTACTTGTTAGACTTCTGTGGACACAAAGATGTTGGCTCAGGGGAAATTCCCAGTTTGGGATACTTATGAAATGCCACTTCTGGAGTTATCCATGTACTTGGTGATTGTGAACCCTTCAGCCTGCCAGGGTCTTCAGGGCTGTCACTGCACACCAAACTCTGAAGTGGTCTCCACCAAGCTCTGTCTGTATATGTCACCCTCTACAACTCTGCTTTGTTACACTTACTTGATTTCAAGGACTTCTGATTTATATCAATGTAAGATCCAGACCTTTGTTGCTCAGCCCCAGAAAGTGAGAGAAGCCTGAACTTCACCGTGATTTTCTATCTCTCCAGGTACTGCTTACCAATACTGGCAGAACTGATACAGAGATTTCTTGTTCCTTTTCTCTCTACCCAATATTTTTCTAACCTGAACCAATTCCCTGTTCACACTGCAGGAGACAAGGGAGTAGATCTTAAACTGGCAGTAAAGGAAGTTACTGGATGAAATTTCACCAGTGGAGGAATCTCACCTGACTTTCCAAAGCTTTACAAGATCAGTGTTCAGTATGAATTGAAACTCTCTTGGTTTTTCAATTTTTGTATTTATAAAGGGGACAGCAATGGACAGAGTAAGCAATCCTGTGACCAATCCTTTTTCTGCTCACATCCTGTCCCACAAGTGATGAACACATTTCACACAAAGTCATCACAGTCTGTGTGCCCAGACAGATTGTATTACTTGTATTTGTGCAACACACTTTAGTTCTGTGTTAAGGTATAAAACTCCACACAAATAAAAGTGCAATGTACTTTCCCTAGTTAGATTTCTATCACATTCCACCGATGGTATGCAGACCAACAAACAAAACCAGATATGTAAAGTCTCTGGTGGGGATCCAAGCAGACCATGGTGCACAGCTCCTCTGTCACCTAAGGTAAGGAGTGTGCTTCTAGCATAAGATCTGCAAAGATTTAGTTCCAAATTTAGTTTCTTCCATTCTTTCTTAGGTGCCTACTGAGGAATAAAGCACTCATCAAAGCAGTTCAGCAAGTCACACCTGTCAAGTGATCTGTAGTCACTACCAATAACTGTTCATGGGCTCCTTGGCCTCCCCAGCTGTGAGGGAATGTGACTTGTTAAAAACTTCAATAAAAGAATTTCACGGACAATTATAGTGGTTCAGCAGATAGATGGTGACTTGTTAAGCTGCCATAAATCAGTTGTGCATCTGAGCTGTAAATAGGTGACCTAATTTTCAAAGAAGCTGAGATAATAACTTTCATCAGTGTCAAAGGAAGCTAATAGATACTTCAAACTTCCAAAGTCAGAAAATTCAGGGCTAAATTCTGAGATTTTTAATCTGCTTCAGTAACATCTGATACTGAATATAATTCCACTGGTTTAAGTGAAACAACACCTGGTGCAAGCAACTTGGCATTATTTAGGCACCTGAATAAAGATTTGGAAATTTAATTCTGGGTATTCATTTCCATAAATTTTGCAGTTTGAATTCCATAATTTTGAAGTAATTTCTCTTACTTTCAATCATGGTATTGTTACAGCCACAGAGGTCCAAGGAGGTCAGAGAGGCTTGGCTTTGTAGAGATAAGATCTTCTGGGGGAGGAAGAGAATAAGTTGGTTCAGCAGTGTTGCCTCTCTCCTTCACATCACTCTCTGTTCCTGCTCCTCTAGGGCTTTGTTCTGTTCTGACACCGGCTTCATGAAAGCACGAACCTACTGTTTACAGTGCAGCTACTTCTGATTTACACAAAAAAAAAAAAAAAAAAAGAGCTCAGGGTTGCTTTCAAATCCCCAGTCTAGGAAATTTTCTCAAGCAAAATTTCACTTACTTCCTATTGCAAATATAATACAGAATGAACTGTATTCACTATGTGCAAATATAATTCTTCCATCCTCCTTAAATAAACATTTCCTTGACTTTTAAAGGATTCAGCATTTCTGGATTTTAGTCTATTAAAGAGCTCTGAGATTTGAAGGTTCAGAAATCAAGTACTCAATACGAAAGGTATAAAAAAAAAAGTAAAAGTGTTAGCAAGGTGGTGTCAAAATATCAGAGAATTAGCAACCAACACACTTAGCAGAAATCCAAACAATAGAATAGAAACTACAATAAAAATCTCAGTCAGTGAAGGTAATGTGATTGTTTTCCCAAATACATTGATTCTTGACAAGTTCTGAATTGTGACACAGGGATGCTAAGCTCCACCACAGCTTTAGGACGTTTTTGAGTTCCTTACTGATAACTTGCTTCAGCACTACTCGTTTGTCAGTGTTGGCTTTTCTTTCTTCTTCTTTGCAGACCAAGGTCTGAGGTGAATCGTATGTGTTTTCTCTTGAAAAACCTAACAGCATCTCCTATGTTAGCTGTCTCCTCCATTTTCTTCTCTCTCATGCTTCAAAAGCACATTTCTCTTAGAATAGTCATGGGAGGGTGCTTGACCAAGCCAGCAGCAATTCCTCCCTGGCGTGCACCTATACCGTGGCGCTGACACTGGGTGCCACGCCAGGAGGCTGCTGCATATCCAGTGTGCTTGGGCTCACTGTGAGTAATCGTGCTGTAAATACCGGATCAGTCTGTCTGGGAGAGGCAGCGTGTCAAGGAGTTTAATGCGGTTTCTTCCAACCAGGCTCCGGACCTTGATGCGGCAAAGATGGGAGAGAGGTCGTGGAGGTTCTGAAAGACAGGCGGGTCAGAAACATGAGCAGAACAGGTTTTAACTCGAGGGACTTGAGCTCAGCTTGGGCAGTACAGTGTCAGTAGGAAAATGGGAGAAGAAAGAATTTAAAAAGTTTTTTTTCTGTAATGAAGGTATAATATGTCTAGGATTGGTGGCAGATCCTCTATTCTGAGGCACGACATGGGGAAGGATGTGGGGCTGGAGGATGGGGTGCTGTACCCATCTCAGCTATAGCAATGGGCTTTGTAGGAGGATTTAAACAAGCCACTTCAAAGTGTTCAGCCCTCCCACTGAGAATAAATGTGATAGGCACCAAATTTAGCTTGGTGCCAGAAAACTGATTCTGATAATATCTGTGAAAGACTTTATCCTGAGGGAAAGTGTATTAGGAGAGTGGAATATTAATAAAGGCTTTAAAGGCCACTGGTGCCTGTGAGGCTCTGGAGATGGCTGTGCTTCCCACCTGTCCTGATCTGACTGAAACCCAGCTACATCCAAATGGGCCTTTCTGCACTGTTCATTCTCAGTGGGTCAGATCGATGGCTGGTGTGCATTTCACACCCCAGGGCCCGTGACACCCCAGAAATTTCTGACCCTCATATATGGTCAATCCCAGCAGGGAAATCCTTTCAAGTTTATGGGATGAATACTAAGAGGAGATGGTGACTGAGGTTTTGAATCCAACAGTGGGACTATTTGTGCCCGATTCTCTTCTGGGAGACCATACCTGCTTTTTCTTTAATGACAGCCCAGTCCTCATAGCTGTCAATATGCTCCTTGAGCCGGGAACAGAGCTGCACGTTACCCACATAATCCAGAAGAACATCGATGATCGGCCCAGCCCAGCGACTTATCTCTGGAGTAGACACCATTTCACAAAACTTCAAGGAAAAACAGATTGACTACCATCAGTGGGCCATAAATGCACTTGTAGAAACAGCAACTGCAATAGCTCTGACAGCTTTGATGGTACCTCCCTTCCACCAGCTGTGAGGGCAATCACCAGTTTCCCTTCAGAAAACTTCAACTAAAGCCTATTCTTTTCCAGCTGAGGGTAGAATCCCCTCTTTGCAATCACAGGATGACACAAATCCCTAGTGAAGTCCTAGCTCTGGAGCATGGAATAATGCTGAATTGTATACAAGTCCCAAGATCCTACTTCCAGAGAAATGCAAGGGCAGAGGAACTTTTCCCTAAGCTAGTCAGGGGCTGCTGAAAGGTCCATGCAGTCTAGGGCCCTGTGACCTGGCATGCTGGGTCCTTTTCCTTCTTGAGTGAGGCTCTGTGGGGCAGAAAGGAATCTTAGGGAAAGAGGGAGATTCAGAAGAGTGCAGCACCTCGTGCTTCTTGTGAACCTGCTGGTATCTGCAGCTTTGGGGGACCAAATATCTTACTAGAAGCAAGTCTGGAGAAATCTCTGCTCAGATGAATCCCAGGCTGTTTTACTTACTCATGTGAGAACTATCCTTGGCCTAATAGAGGGATGCCTTCCTTACTCAGTCTGGACCATGCAAATTTTCTACTGGCTCCAGTGTAAGCTGCAGAGTGCCCAAATCCATTTCATGGAGGGCTTCTTACGGAGACACAGAAGAATAGACTTAAGGACTTGACTTTAAGCAGTCTCATTTTAAAAAAATTTGCCCACTTGAATCTAAATATGTATATTATGCCAGTCAGTTTCGTCTGTCTCTCTTAGGGTTCTGCATATGATGAAGATATCTGTGGACATAATCAGCATGCAAGCAGTCAGGAAGTTTAACATGAATTAAATCATGCTGTGTGGATAAGAACTCAGGCACATGGCTGAACCCTATTGAATGATGGTGGCTGAAGCACCATCCATCAACTTAGTCACTCAGACTGTCTGCAAACACCTTCTAAGCAAACCCACACCAAACAGGAAAGAAAATGCACCATCTTAAAATTCTCTCAGTTTGAATTCCTGTAACTAGATAAAATTTGATTATTCATGCATGAGTCCTAACTCAAAATGATTAAACTCTTGTGTGGATACTCTTATTCAGAAGTAAAATTATATTAGTTCACCTAGTAAAATAGAGCTGCAGAAAATAAGGTAATTTTTGTTCAAGATGAGAGCATTCACAGAGGTGTTTACTACTCTTCTGACTCTTATTTTTCAGTGAACATCACCATGTAATGTTTCCCAGGATGACTAGAGACAGTCATGTCAGAAGGATCGTGGTGGACAACCCACAGTTTCCTGCCTGGGCTGCCTATAGGAAGTGCAGTTTTGTATATCTGGCTGTCACTCTCCAGTGCCTGTGTCACTGCCATGCACTGGAGTTGGGTGGCACCTGCACTGCCACCTCCCTGCAGTAACTGCTCTAGTAGAGTTGAAATGAAGACACGTGTAGGCCCATAAAACACTGGATCTTACTTGCTCTCTTCTTGTCTCCACTAGAGACCTTGCCTGCCTTTTTCTCTCTTCCCTGCACACAAGCTCGGCTTACAAAAACATCTTCTGGAATAAACACATTTCAAAACACATTGCAGGAAAATAAGCATAGCAAAATAAAGGAAAATAATGCAAAACTGCAACACCAGGCAGTGGGATTGACTCGGGAATAAGGTGTCTCTGAGCCTGTGTTCTCGGCAGAAACCCGAATGCCCTCTCGTGGCAGTCTGGTACTGCTGTGTGTCCCCACCTTCCTGGGATCAACAGCAGTTCTGGGAACTGACACAGTCAGCAACCATTTTTCTGTGTTCACTTTCTCCAGGACATATTAATTTAGTAGCATCAGTTATGATTTGTATTTGTGCATTTTCCAAATCCAGTTACCGTAGTTTATAGCCTTTATAAAGACTAATAATTGAGATTTATTATCCTGACGAAATCGTACATAAGAAAATAGAAAAAGAACATCCTTTGTGTGGAGAAGGCTGTAGTTTCATAAGATCCTGTGTATTTCAGAATATAAATAATTTCATAACTACATATCATGAAGCTACCACACAAACCTCACTTTTATTTGCCAAAATCCTAGGGGTGAAAGCAAATTAAAAACAATATTCGAGGAAAGGGATTACTCTTTTTTTTTGTGTGTGTGCATCTGTCCTCATTGCTTTCTCTCTGGGCACAGATACAATTTCATACAGTTTTTGCTATCTGTGCCTCATGTGATGTGACCTTTGAGGCACTGACTGTGAGTGACCTAGTATTTTCTTAGGCAATAGATTCAGGTGAGATCCAGAAGGAGCTGGTTTTGAGTGTCTAGGATATCATAGAGGGCTACAGACAAACTCTCTTGTCTTGGAATTCCATCTCTCTGTTCACTCAATGTCCTACCATATCACAGATAAAGAACTAGGGGTTATATATTTTATAATTTTTTCTTTGACAAAAAAATAGGTATCCTGGAGGAATTTTGTTGGGACAAAGACTATTGAGGGTAAAGCCCTGTTTAGGATAAGAGATTATTGTGATGGACTCTTAAAATTCTCTCTATAAGATTTTCTTTTTGGTTGTTTTTTTCCCCCCCACATATGTTACTGGAGAGTAAAGTCTTTTGGAAGACAGGACTGATAAAAAGGTCAAGATTTCCTAGGATCTTTTAATGTTTTCCTTTATTCTTTCCACCATCAAAGAACATATATTGGTAACCATACCTTTGTGATTCTTCCGAATCCCTCAAAGCCACACTTAAACTAGATAGAAGCTGATTGATTTCTTCCCCGAGTCTTTGCAAAATAGAAAAACTGTCATGTTGAGATTTCATTTTTGTGTAATATGTTGAAAGATAGCAAATTTTGAGTGGAGCATTAGGTTTTGACATACATTGGAAGGAGACAACATACAGAAATCAGAAAAAAAAAGTATAATCTGAGGTTCTGCAGTCTTTTAAGGGATTGAGAGTCCCATTCCAGCCCAAGGGAAGTTGAGCTCCACTGCATTTTAAAAAGCATTGCAAAGATACATGTATAAAAATGTAGGTATCTAATGCCTACATATGGCTTTGAAAATATGAAATCATGGACCTAAATCTCCTAATCTCTTGTGAAAACTTCAATTATAACTCAGTCACATAGCTAATGTAATAATTTATGCTCTCTCTCCATGACTGCTTATCCGGTGGACTCAGAAATTGCAGATGTTCACATTCACAAGTTTACCCTCACAGCATGAAGCACTAGACTGTTTTCATGTAACCAGTAGCTAACATTCTGCATCAGACTAAACAAATCCTACAGGGCAAGTTAAAAAAGAAAGTTTCTATCATCCATATGCTATCATCCATATGTTTTTCAGGAAAATATGCCTCACTCCTGGCACCTCAGGTCCAGAGGAAAAGAGCATTGTAGAACTGTTGGTAAGACTGTCAAGATGGCTACAATTCACTGTAAATTCAAGCTATGGCCACAGTGGCTGTTGGCAACCTTCCTGCAGTCATTGGACATAAACTTGGAATGTTTGCTTTTTTTCTGTAAATAAAGTAGGGATAGTGGCATTTTCTCTCACAAAGTAGTTGGAAGAAAAAATACACCAAAGTTGTCAAAACCCACAGGTAGGACATGTCCTCAGAAGTCCTGTAGGTAGACAAGGCAGTGCTTACCTGTACTACAGTTGGCTCCCTGGTCACCTGAGGATCATTAAGTCTTTCCCGCCTGTAATTCAATGCAGGGTGTGGGCCATTTCCATACTGACACTCAAAACAGGACCTGGCATCACAGCCCAGATCCAGGAGATACTTCAGCACGGAAAGGTATTTCATTGAAAACATGATGGTAGCTGGAAATGTGGTGGGATGACTTGATATATAGGCATCAATGTTTGCCCCATGGTCAAGAAGCAGTTTCATGGTCTTCAGGCAGCCGTGGCGGATGGAGATGAGTAATGGGTTAATGAGGTCAACGTTGGGGTTGGCTCCGGCTTGCAGCAGCAGCTCTGTGGCGTAGATGTTGTTGTTAAAAACAGCAAAGTAGAGTGGGGTGGTGCGTCTGTCCTCGTAAAGGCAGGACCGTTCATCAGAGAGGGCAGTGTTGACGTCGTAGCCAGCATCTATCAGCTCTTCCAAGATATCGTCGTTGTTGCGTTCGGCCGCTAAGTGCAGGGGGCTGATGCCACTGCGCTTGACTCGGGTGCGACTGGTCACAGGGATCAGCATGGAGACAATCCTGCCAGGAGGAGACTCAGTGAGCACCTGTGAGCTCTAGGGGATCTACAACCCTACAGCAAGTCATAGCTTTATGATTGTAGAAACCAGAGTGCAAACCTCAAACCTGTCAGCAACTCCCTGTGCACCTACATTGCCAAAAATGTGAGTTGTGTGACCTTCCCCTTTCATGGAGGAACACTTTTGTTTTAGATTATCACCCAGTTTCTGTGATGTAAGGCAGCTACAGGGACAGTTACAATGGAAGAGATGACATGCTGGCACTCACCCACCCTGTTGTAACTTCTCTTACGTTCCACAGCCCAAATGGCAGACGACCAGCCAGATATTCTGCACCTTCATCATCATGCTGTGGGTAGAACTGGAGGAAAAGGTGCACAACCTCCAGCCTGAGGTGCCAGCAGAGGGTTTGCTTTACTGCTCAGCAGAAAAAGGTGTCAACACAGAGTGCTGGCAGGTCTTGTGGGTCACAGCCACAGTAATGAGCTTGACACCAGACAGGGGGTGAAACTTCATGTCTACAGGACTGAGCGAGGATAAACTACAGGTTTGGTTCTCAGGCCTTCCCTATTAGATTTTACAATTCAGTTATTACACTGCATTGATCCCTATCCTGTAAGCCTTCACTGTGCAGCTTTTGGCTGTGGCAAATTAGTGGGGCTACCTATGTCCATCCCAGATCATGGGGAGCAAAAAGCCAATTAGTAAAAGGGAATAAAAGAAGTAAAAATATTTTCCAGGGTAGTTTCCATGTTTCAGCTGAGGGAGAAAAAATGTGCAGCCAGGTCCTAAACCCCAGTAGAGATTGCTGTTGGACAGCGTGATGTGGTCTTAAACACAACATAAATCAAGCTGCTCTAATATGTAATATGAATTTCAAGTATATGATGCACAGGAGCCCTGCAGTCACAAATCCATTATCATTTTTATGTCTGCATAGGTGTCAGTGGAGCTGCATGACCAACCCTATGGGTTAAACCTTCATTTCCTGCTCATAAAGTTGGATGGATGATATAGCCAAGGCCCTAGGTTGATTCTGTAGATATAGACAAGTCACCTCAAGCTACTTTCAGAAAGAGCCTAGGGATCATCCAACCTGAGTCTGCCTGCTGTGTCAGGAGTTGCCCACACTCCCCTTGCAATGGCTCTGTAGAGCAGGATACCTTAAATAGGAGCTTGTGTGAGCTGGGATGCCAAGCACACCTTCTCTGCTCTTTTCCTCCCATGCAGACTACTCCACCTAGCAGTCAACAGCTCTGTGACATACAAACATGCAAAGCTCAGTTTCCTACCATGCAGTGTGTCTCCTTTAAAATGCTGCATATCTTCAGCTTGACTGCAATGTCTGGTCCCAACACTGGGCCCTCAAACATATATTTACATAGTGAACTAAGCCAGTAAAACCTTTGTCTGTGATGATCTTGTCATCCTGTGAAAGACTGAGCCTCCAACACTCCCAGGAGCTGAAATAAGAGTTGAAGATGTATCGTATTTTACAGGATTATGTTCCTATTTACATTATGGACAGTTGATGTCTCCAAGTTACTTCTACATCTTATTTTTAAACAAAAAGGCTTTTTAAATTATGTAAATATCTTGGGAAATTAAGCACTTTTTTTTCTCCAAGCAGTTGAACTAATTTTCCAGCACTGTGACACTTGCCAGGGAGCAGGAGTCTTGGGTGCTGGTGAGCTGGCAATTTCCCACCCTCAGCAAATGTTCTGTAAGAGCCTAATAACAAAAAGGGCACAGAGCACTGTGAGGACACTACGCCAAGTACCAGCATTACTCATCCCATGATCAAATGTTTTGAAGATTTAAGGGTCTGTTTTGTTCTTTCCCTCCAGCATATGTGCTTCAGCCAGCTCTTCTCATCAGAGTTAAAGAGGCACTGCATAATTTCTAACTGCAAGAGGAACCTGAACCTCGCTGCACGGGTGCCACGCTGAGGCTCTACATCCAAATGCTGCAGTGTCCTAGAGCTCAGTACAGTCCCTGTACCCCACATTTATTTTGGTATGACAAGCAGGAAGCATCAAATTTTTATCAGTTTAATTGTATAGGTTGAACCTGTGTCTCTTTCTCACCCTCCAAAGTGGGTCAGTTCAGTAATATGGTGCTTCTGGAGCATTTCCTCTTTCTCTAGAGGGAGAATGCAACTCAAGTGAAGACAGCCAAGGCCAGACAAGTCAGACTATATCCCATGTCTGTCACAGGGATGAGCTTCATGTACAGTTTTTAAATAGTGCCAAGATTTTCTAATCCCTAACACCTGCTTCTGTGCTTTCTATTTGTTAGAGGTTATATGGAGGAGGAGGCAGAGCATCCTTAGTATGAGCATGCCAAGAGTTTACTGACTTGTATTTACTTAATAAATCTGCCCACGCTTCACAAAGTCTTCCCTTCTCAACATCTCAGTTCTAAGGGGGAAAGAGTTAAATGGCTGTTTGTGATTGTACTACAGCTTATGAAATGACCTTTATGAATTTCAGGTCAGTATTGACAAGGTGTCATTTAAAATAAACAAACACCAAGCAACAAGAGTTGACAGTTGAGCCCTGGGACCACATTCTTGGCTTTTTGATGGTAGGGAGCCTTCGTGCTCTGGCAAAAAGTTGAAGTGTGGAATTCCTGCAGAATTACGTACTAAATCTGCAGGAATACAGAGGTCACCATGAAGGGTGTTATTTTACTGAATACCAGAGGAATTAAGAATGATCAGCCAAATGGGCTTAAGTTTTGTCATTTAGATAAATATTTATAAGAGAATATATTTTTCTTTTGTCTTTCTTATCTATTTAGTTTCCAGCAGTTGTGCACAAAATTTGTGCTCAGTCTTTTACAAATGAAGGAATGCAGAGTTTGAACTGAATTCTGGAGTCATTTGTGCTGCTGGTTGTTGGGAATAATAGATATGAGCCCTGAATCAGGCCCTTGCTTTCATAACTCAGGGATGAACACAGGTTGTGGAGTTTCCATGTACATTTTTTCAGGTCAGAGTGTAAGATTACTGAGGGGAGGGAAAGATTCAGAGAGCTGGCCCATACTCTATATACAAATTGGATTCAGATCAACTTACGGTACTTTCAGATAAACTTTTTAGAAATTGAACAACTGAAGCTGAGTTCTGTCTCTCACACAAGAAAATTACTTTATAACTCAAACCCTGGAGAAAATCTTGACTCATACTTATGTTAGTCAGTGCAGGGTGTAAGTGTATAAACCTGTTACATAAGTTGACACTGAGCTGCCCTCTTGAATACACAGCTTGCACAAGGAACCAGGCCTACTCCAACTACAGAAAATTAATATCCTCAGGTCTATCAAAGTTATTTGAGAAGCTTAATTGGCATTCCAAAGCAAATCTAAATGCTAGAATGAAAAACTTTATGGGAAGCTGTAGTGATGTTAAAAGCTTTTATTCCTCACACTGTGAAATATGCAGGAATCCGCTCGAGCAGTTATCTGCAAAGAAAGCTGTATTGTCCAGAAACAGACACTGCAGTTGGAGAGACACTCTCATTTGCCTGCCTGTTGTAGAAATATTTTGGTAGAAATAGTGATAGTCAGAAGAGTCTTCTACAGTCACCAAAGGGGTCTGTTACTGCAATGAAAAATTAGCTGTGGGTCACTCACTCTTGCAGTGGTGAGGGATTAAAAGCAGGAACTAAAACTTGCTCTAGGATCAGAAGTAAATGCTGTGGAGTTCAGGCTCAGAAGCGTGCTGCAATGTCCCAGGTTACTACTTACATGACAGTGCAACATCCCATCCCCAGACAGCATCTTCTAAATTGATATTCTTTATCATAGACTATAGTTTGTCACTTTCCTAGAAAAATCTGTTTCAGAGGACTGGTAATTCTACCTGATTTCTGCTTATTTTTTCTGCTAGTTACTTTTCTCCCTGCTTAAAAAATATGGTCAGCTCTATCCCAAACACATTTAATTTCAGAAAGAAAGTAGTGGGTCTTTTTATGAATTTGTCTGTTACAATTAAGAGTTATTTAATAACTCATGAATAAAATATATTTTCTCGTACTTCTTTTCTGAAGTCTTTACAATTTCCTGACAGGTTTCTGAAAGGAAGGATATCAGAACTGGACACCATATTCTAGCGACAATCTCTTAGAGATTCACTTAACCACTCGCTGCTGTCACCAACTGAATTATTGTTATTAAAACCTGGACACACCAGAGATGAATCCAGCATCTTCTGCTTGTGCAGGAGAATCACAATGAGTCCATATAGGAAAATGATTGCCAACCATGCTGCAAAAGCTATTAAAGACTAACACTCCCCACCAATACTTTTTCTATTATATTTCAAGAATATTTTAAGGACTTCAGTTTAATCCACTTCCAAGATACATTATGTTATTTAGCTGTAATAAGTGATGTCTTGGTAAAATTAAAGGAATCTTTCACCCCACATTCCTGCTCACCTCATCCCATCCCATCCCATCCCATCCCATCCCATCCCATCCCATCCCATCCCATCCCATCCCATCCCAACCTCTAAACACACTCTCCAGTGTTAGGTTCTAGTCTGAGCTCTGCAAGCAGAAAGCCCACTTCTCATCTGGTATCTGCCTTGCTCGCATTGCTCAGAATTAGTTCTGTGACATTACATTCTCCTTTTTGTAGACTTTGGATTCTTGTCTCAAAGATGAAACCATGAAACTAACAAACTTACTCGCAAATCCCTTTTTTGGCTGCTATGTGAAGAGGTAACAGGCCATCCTTATTGGCTTTGTTAGCATCTGCTCCTTGAGACAAAAGAAACTCCACAATATGCACATGTCCATTTTTACAGGCTTCATAAAGAGCAGAGGCGTTATCACTGGCTTGTGTATTTATATCAGCACCTAGGAAGGAAGAAAACCTTTGAGCACGAAAAGGTTAAAATGAGATGGGAGGAACCTACTTTGAATGAACACTTCTGTTTCTATGATACTGGAGCTATGAAGTGTGCTGGATGGGGATGTGCACATGGTCATATCAGAGGTGGCACAGTCATATCAGTTATACACCTTTATATCATAGATTTACATTGGTTTATAATGTGATAGGAATTTTATGAGGGACAGTTTTTCATGGGTGGCAACTATTAGGTCCCAGTCATGAATCCCAGCTCCATACAGCTGTAGCTCAAAGGTAAAAAATATTTCAATTGGTCTATTCTTTATATGGCATGGCCTTTTCTTCAAAAACAGTAATTCCATTAATATTTTGTGTGTTTACACTATGTATATGTACATAGTTTGGAGTTTGGACTAGATTATCTCAATAAGTGCTCTCCAAAATTCTATGGATGTCTATTTATGCTATATATTTATTTATATTTATCATTGATACTCCATATAGTCACACTATAAGCATTACACAGATTTATAGCATTTATACTAATTTTTAATTTTAGTATGTATCCAGCTAAAATAATACTTTATAAAATGACATCTGCATGGTGCTGATCAACATTTCTAAACAGGTTTTATTTGGGAGTGCCTTAATCAATGAATGTTGTGTTTCAAAACTCAGCACCTGAGGCCATATTTCTTCACCTCATAAGGGTTGGAGTTAGGCTTCAAATGGTCAGTTTTACTACAAAAAAAATATTACCAGTGAACTACTAGATTATTTGGGAATGTCTTTCTTGAGCTCTAATGTGTACTTAGCTTAATAAATAACATGCAAGTATAAACCAAGACTGTACTTTTTTTGCCATAAACACTATGGAATCGAGCTTTTTCTGTTCTGATATTTTGGCTGTCATATACTGTACCATGGTGTTCTCAGGAAGGCTGCTCTGTGTGTATACTAAATGGCAATGACAGTTCACTGAGGTTTTGCTTCTAAACTCCAATAAAGAAACCAATCAGTCTTCTGTTAGATCATGAAAACTCCCTGCCAATGAGAACATTTCCCTGGGCTCTCACCCTAAGCTGAAACATCTGTGTTGTGTTTGGCCCTTTGAAGATGTTGTAGCTGGAAATATAAAGAGAATTATAGTGACAAAACATAACACAGGACTATGTTCCTAATGAGAAAGAAACCCTTTTTATGATGAAAATTGCTCATCATAAACAATGAATGATATCATTCCTGGGATGCTCAGAGGAGATTTTCAGGGCTTGAAACAATTGGACAGTTTTTTTGGATTTTTTCTTGTGTATTTTTCTCAAAATTGAACATTAAGGACATCTTAATGTCTATCTAATTTGAAACACAAATCACATTCTGGCTTAGTTTCTTAAGTCATAGGCAGCATGATGGACTAACTGGTCATGTAAAACTCCCTTGACAAGACTAGCTGGGCAGCAGAACACATTTTTTGTTCCCCAACTCTCATATCTTTCTTAATCATACTAATTTTTTCAAAAGTTTTTCTTATCTTCATCACTGGTAAGCTCTTGTTTTGCAAGTGAAGGACCGAAGTCTTACCTACATTGAAGATATTAGTCCATTGTGAAAATAAAATATTCCTCAGAATAGTAGTGAAGTGTATTGTGCTTATTGTAAAGCTGTTTTACATGAGCGGAGCAGTAAAATATAGGTTTAGTGTAAATTCAATTCAAATTCTCTATTTACATGTTTGAATATTCACACATAGGGAGAGTGAGTCTGCTTCTATTTGATATGAACCCATAAACTGTACAGTAGTACTTTATCTATTTTCAGAGGATACATTAGGAGGACAGCTAACCTTGCCTGTCACTGCATATGTTCGTGAGCAGATGGGGTTGGCTGAAGCTCAACTTCTGCCATCTATTACCACCTACAGCTGCCTTTTATGACTGGATTTTAGGCTACATGTGTGCAGCAATATGGGTTTAGACAGCTGTTAGGAAATGCAGTCAGACAGCACCACTGCCCAAAGTGGGTGACCATGAATGAATGCTGAAGAAGCACATGTGTCTAGACCGTGCTCTGTGAAAGACCCTACCCAGTTCCACCATCAGAAGCAACAGGGCTTTAGTGATTCTGCAGGCTTGGCCTTGCCTCCAGAGACAAAAACTGAGCCAGGGAGAATTACTGGGAAACTCTGAATTATTAAGAATTAAATGAATAGATGCATGTAAGCTGGACTCACCACATCTTGCAAGATATCTCAAAGCTTCCAGCTGCCCACTCTCAGCTGCCACAAATAAAGAGGTGATCCCGTAGGCATTTGCTGACTCAATCTTGGCACCCCCTTTCACAAGGATATCGATGATCTCCAGGTCGTTTCGGGACACAGCCTCGTGGAGAGCAGTCCATCCTCGATTGCAGCGATGGTTGGTATCTGCATGGTACTGCACCAGGAGTCTTGCAGCCTCTGCATTCTTGCGCTCACAAGCTGTTTTAGAAAAAAAGGGAAGAGACTAGGACAGGCTTCTGAAAATATTCTGGGTGTTGTGTATCCGTTCTTGCAGTCCAAGGCAATATAATACAAGTAGGCCATATAGTAAGACCAAAGATCCATTCAGGTCTACATGAGAGCCAAGGCTGCTACCAAGTGACATTGTCTGAGGCTCAGAAAGAAGCCAGTCTTCAGCTGGACCTGGCTAAGTGTCCTGTGCAGGGGTTGTGCCAAGTCTGGTACTGGAGGGAATCTGGCCCAACACATTTGTACCAACAGGAAACCACAGGGACACAGTGAGGTGATGAGGTGCAGAAATTAATTTATGGAGAACAAATATGTTGCAGAAATCATGTGACCTGAACACTTTCTTTCCAAATTCTGCAAACTGATTCTTTATCTTACTGCCATGGACTGTAAATAAGCCCCATGTAGACAAGAAAATAAAAAAAGCTCAAACCAAGAGTTGAGTAGTCAGTAGCACTTTCTCAATTTATAGTTCAGTTTATAGTTCAGGACCATCCTGGGCTAAAGATAGTTTCTTAATTATTAATAGAATTTTGTTGATTTTTATTCTACCAATTTGTCCCATAGCTTTTTGAATCCCAAATCATGAGGCTTCCCATGCACCTTAATGGTGGGACTCCAACCTAAAGGTACCTAGGATGAGTAGCTACATTGAAAAACCCCAATTAGCATCTGTTGTACAATGTACAGAAGAGAAGCATATTTCATAGCAATTAGTTTTTTCTTTGAAATAAGTGTCTTTTTCTCACAGAGGTCTCACCTTTTAGTTCTGATTCTTCCCTTGCAATAGCTCCATGGTGTTCTCCCCCATAAACAGGTGTCACTCATATACTGAGAGCACCTATGTAATTAGGCATTTCCGTAATTATCTATCCATAGCTCTGCAGAGTTTAATTTGCTCACATATGAGGGATGACTATTTTGTTATGACAGTCTTTTTAACTCTTCTTTGTTGTTGTTGTTGTTGTTGTAGGATAGTGTAGAAGATTTTGCATCAAGGCTAGCCCATTCTTACCAACAGTTCTTCTCTGGCTAAAGGGTGTTTTCATATCATCATTATTGTGCTTATGATTACTATGAGCACTACTAGTACTACTAGTACCACTACTACAACCACTACTGTATGTTTAATGCACAGCTGAACAACTTTTCCCTGGTCAACTAAAAGCCAGAATTTTAAAACAAAAGCATTTTAAAAGCAGCTCTAATGCCAGGCATCCAAAGTTGGAGGCAAGATTGGTGTTTTAACCTGTAGTATGTGTTTTTAATGTTTTAGAGTGCTAAAAATTGTCATGGCAGGAGCAGAGGAGGCTGGACATGACAGTGTGAGAGGTCTCCTCTGAATGTTTGTGATTTCATGGATATATTGCTAGTCTACTAAAAAAAGAAAGTGTTCTCTCCAATCAGCAGCAAAGTAATATGTCTGTGTTAAATACTTTATCTACCTCACTGAATTATTTATAATTTTATGATTCTCCCATAGTACACAGCCTGGCCTGACCCACACAGTATGTCTACAGTTACTGTACTTGCACATCTAACAGCTCCTTAGGTCCTACTGTTCAGCAGAGCACAGGTAGTCCTTCATTGCCCAACTTTCTGTAAGTTTGGGACATTGTGCAGACAGCCCGTGCTGAGAATCTCACCCCTCACCCTCAGCACCCCATCACAGCCTGCACCCTGCAGGACAGCTGCTATTCCTCTCTCTTGAGGATGAGATAAAAGGCCATGGCATAGCAGGTCAGGCATAGAAGATAGAGGACTAACACAGTGAAGCAGAAAACAAGAAGCAATCACTGACTTTCAGCACCACATCACAAATGATCCTGCAGTTCTGCCTTGGTGGTGCCAGAAGAGCTCGGCATCCCTGTAGAAGCAGGGTCTCACCTTTGTAGAGGGGCGTTTCTCTGGCCTTGTTGGAGATGTCAGGCTCAGCCCCAGCCTGCAGCAGGGTGAGCAGGCAGTCCAGGTTGCCCCGGCTGGTGGCCAGGTAGAGAGCTGTCTCCTCATTGAGAGTGCGCTGGTCGATGGTGCCTGGGTACGCTGAGAAGGAATGGACAGCCCAAAGTCATTGTGGCACGTAGTGCACAAATATCTGCAGCACCACCACCCTTCTAAATCCTGGAGGGTTTAAGTTTTTATTGTTTATTCATTTCCATAAGCAATGGAAGTTAGTAATATACTATAATGTTGCTGTAACTCAGGTCGAGTATTGAAACCTGTCTTCAGTTTAGATTAAAATGTTCACCTTTGGCCAGTAGTGATGCACAGAGTTGTTGAGCTGAGTTTTTCTTCAGCCTCAGTTTGAAAAGAAACTACAGTAATTAACTTCAAGCACCAGCAAAGAGATGCTGGGTTGGATCTCCCCCCAAGGGAAAGTGGGGTTATTCCTGACAGCTTGCAGCATCTAAGCAGCTCATAATAGCAGAGAGCTCAGCTTCAAAGCCTGAGCATGAGAAATCTAGGGCTTGGCTATCCCATATCACTTTTTCCCAAATATCCTATCTTTTAGAGGCTTCAGTCTGGAAACTTACTTTCCAAGAGAAGGTGAAATTAATATACAGGCAGGAAGGTTGGAAAGAAGCTTCATACACAGCACCAGGCTAGGATTGAAATACTGCTAATTTAGCCTTTTAGTTTATTAATGTTCTTCTTTTCCCTTTTGTAATTAGTTAGTTTTAAGTTCACTGACCTTTTTGCAACAGGCTCAGGCAGCCCACTTGGCCATAGTATGCAGCTTCGTGTAGGGGTATCCAGCCATCCTTATTAGGTACAGAAAGGTTTTTTCCTGATTTCATCATGTTGCTTACTGCTTTTTCATCTCCATCCTTGATTGCTGCCACTACAGGGTCAATTTCTCTTTAAAACAAGATTAAAACTTGGTTATTGCTTCCTTCATTGCTGAGAAGCTTTCTGCAGCAACATCACTGGGTTTTTTTGCCCAAAATAGTGAACCCCTGCAGCCTATATAACCCGTATTTGTACAGAGAGACACCATAGGGCCAGTAAAGGTAAAATTTGTCTTCTCTAATTTTGTCAGTCAGTAGATCAGAAGAATCGCTTTCTGGAGATACTGATTGCTCTCCTCAGAATGTAAACAAACTAGGGATGTGTAACTAATGTCTGACACAAACACTTATATTTTAGATGTCAGGAGCTGTGGACTTTGCTGTATACACTTGGAGTGTCCATGACTGTGATAATTGCATCGCCTTGCTGTCCCATACAGCATGGTGCTTCCATATGAGATCTTTTAAATAAGATCAACTTTGAAGAGAATTACCCCTTTTCATCCTTGAACAAATTTTTAGATGTGATTTTCAGGTGGCTTTAACAGAAATGATCAATAAATCTTACTCTTGTATTTCTAAGATACTTCTTATTTCCTTACATAATCCTGTTTTCAGAATCTAGCCAGTCCACTTATGAAGAAGGCAGAGCTCTGTTTAGAGCATGTAAACACTGGGGTGTTGGTCTTGGCTCTCTTTTCTTCACCCAGGGAGGACTGAAAAAAATCCACCTCCTCAAATGCCTCTGCCAAGTATGCATTCCACACACTCTGGGCAGTAACTCCTTTCTCTGAGCTCTCTGAGTGTTTGCAGGGCAGGGCTGACCTGGGCACACCAATCCTACTGCAGAGCAACAGTGACAGCTCCTGTGAGTGTCTCCACATAGAGGGACTCCCAACACTGACTGACAGCCACTTTTCCCCAGGTCAGCAGCACCTGAGCAGGACCTACCACCCTCCTTCCACCCCTCTGAGGCTGCTGAGGTATGGCAGAGCTAGGGAGCTGGGGAGCTCACAGCCTGCAGCCAAGGCAGGCAGGACCCTTGCCCGTGGTGGGCAGCAGCTCTGTGCATACTGGTGGGCTGTGCTTTCCAGCATTGGCATCTGCTTGGGCTCTGAGCTGTGCTGGGACACAAGGCTGCCACAGCTTTGTTACTGTTATGCACTAAATGACTAAGATTCATCACAGCCAACATTACACTTCACCAGTTCCAATGGGGACTTCCAAAAAAATGAATGTGGACTATAGTTTCAGAGACAGAAAACGAGAAGTTGCAGAAAACACTGGAGCATTTGTGTTTGAACTAGCTCTACAGAGAAAATCTTGTGGTCCTGTAGACAGAGAGATGCAGGAGAGAGGTGTGTGTCTCAGACTGTTAGCATTGCCAGGACAGGAATACAGCATGTGGTGGAGGTCATGCAGGCTAGTGATGATGGGAACAACCAGAAACTCCAGTTATGACAAGAAGAAAGTAAAAAATACCACAGCAAAGTGAGATGAGAGACAGAAAAGTATGGGCAGGTCAACATAGGAGTCACAAAACAGTACACTGGTACAACCTCTGCACTTCATGGGAGTTACAGGAGCAGAACTGAACTCCATTGCCTTGTAGGGGCTGGATAGACCAACAGTCTGAAACTCACACAGGCCTCACTAATTTCAGTTTGCCCAAAGGCACACAGTCTATGCCATAAACACTGACATTAACATTGAAAGAAGTTACCAAGCTGGTTTTCTGATGATAAATTCAGGGCCAAGAGTGGAACAGGTGATCTCAACACCTGTGCCAGAGAATGGGAAAAGACACCATTTCCCAGGTGAAACAGTACTTGCTCCTTCTCTATAGCTGGAAGCAGTGATTTCAGGACAGTAGGGTCACAAAAATAGCAACACTGGAATGAGGAAAGATATGGGACACAAGGCCAGGCATTTTGCCTGAGAAGATAACAGCTAGAACAGGCAGCTGCTGTCCTGGCCACAGCCTTCCCAGGAGGAATTGACTGACCTTCTGATAACTGCTGGCCGGACGTCCCAGGGACACTGCTGTATCTCCATACTGCTTACAGTACCCTGGGGACTAAACCTAAGATTCCTAATTGAGTAACAGAGTAGATTTTTATACAGGTGTTTGAAATTGAGCATTTTGTTGAAGCCTGCTAACAGCAACTATTGGCATTTTTGGCTGGGAGAGGAGGCGGAGGTGGGGGATCTTCATCTTTCAACACCTCTGGCACAAAGCTGCTGAAACCATCTGTTGTTCTATGCAAAGGCTCATGTTACACATGTAGGGCTGTGACCTCAGGATTTGGGCACATGATATAATTACTGGTGCTTAATGAATTACTGCATGCCAGGTGGGCCATGGCAGGAGTCTGCGCATGGGCTGGCTCACAGCAAATGCAAGGTAAATCACATTATCTGAGACCTCAGGGAAAGCAGGAGGGTACCTTGGATCTGTGCTGGGGTTAAAAATGTGTGAAGAATCAGTTACTATTCTGACTAAGTCCTCAGATGTTGAATGAAGCAAACTTCTGTTGGGTTCCTTGACCTTAGATGATTCCTGAGTAAGATGAGGGGGTTTGCTGGACCAGGCTGTGGATGCTTTAGCCAAGAAAATTCCAGATCAGAACAGAAGGTTCAATGAATCTCCATGTGAAATCCTTGTTTTCTGCCTGACTTATAGTTGGCTGTTATAAAAACCCACCACATTCTACTGCCTGGATTTCATCAGATATAGAAAATACAAATATTAAAACTATGGAGGAAGTCTGAAGATACGATGAAATCTTAAGCTTATAGACAGCTCAAAAGAATTACTGCATTTCAAAGACTGGTAGGCAAGATAAATACTCCTTGCAGATGAGATGCATGGTGAGGTCAGTTCTGAAGAAGAGGTTCAGTGCAGCACAGAAAGGTTCAAGAAGCTCCTTCTTTTCCTTTTTTTCCTGACAGCCTGGAGAGATGCAGGCAGGATGAAGGAACACCACTTCTCCAGGTGAAGCTAAATATCATCCCTGCCTAGTTCTGAGACTAAGGCTATAAAAATGCCAGTCATACCATCATGCTGTCCTAGGACTTCCCAGCTATATTTTTGCTCTACCTGGCAGCAGAGGAGGGCTAGTTTCTCAGCCTTTTTGTACACTGAACGCTATGCAGCTACCCAGTGGAGAAGACCAGCTTGCCCTCAAGTCTTCTACTGCATCCAAGAGGCATGTAAGGAGTGCAGAGCACCTAGTGAGATTGTGATTTCACTGTGGCCAAGGGAAGCTGGCAGGTGACAGGGATAAGGCAGGCTTCATGTTGTTGCAGGAAGAAGTTTTCAAATTGTCAGGAAGTGCAATGCCAATGGAGGGCCAGGTACAGAGTCTGAATCAGCCAGGATGCAGAGGGAGCTGGGGGAGATTGTAGAGCTGGGTGAGAGGTGAAAGGAAGAAGAGTGATGGAAGGGTAGTCACTGCACCTGTGCATCCAGGGAGGGACTTGTAAGATCGATCAAAAAAAATTTGAGCTGGGTAGATAGAAAAGGTAGGGAGTTTCTTTTCTACAGGATACAGGGAAGTGCTGTTTGTAACGCTTTCCTCTTGTCATCTGTTAGCTAAGGGCAGTGCACATGACTATTCTGCATTTCAGAGAGCTGTAATAAACCCATCATGGTCCACGTATTTGCACTACACACTGGCACTGGGACAGAGTTTGGGCCACTGGCTGCTTTTCTCAATTATGACTGTGTTCAACTAAGCTAATTTGGAACCTCTGCCAATAGCAAAACATGGCCAGGAGGATCAGTCAGTGAAGACAGTTTCCTCCTTGGACAAGTAAGCCTTCCTCAGTGTGACTGGATAGCACAGGTATGCCTGGGAACAGGCATGGCATCTTGGGAGCATATATAAATACTTATTTGAAGGATTCGACTTTCTCACCTTGTTATAAACAAGATGAGATACTTGATACATTTTGTATCAGAGTATGTATCATACATTTTCCCCCTACTTTTCCCCATTGCTGAACCCTGAACTTAATACCAATGCAGTTACTATCAGCACCTGCCTGCCTCATCTATCCTGTTGATAAGTGAGCCAGCCTATATAAATTAACCACATTGCAGTCATCCCTTCCCTGCTATCCTTGTCACCTCAGAGCTTCTGACTGACCCAGAGTCCCCAGGACATGAGCACTGCGGGGATGGAGAGAGAAGAAGAGGGAGAAGAGAACAAGGGATATTTGAGGTGGGTCACTTGCAAGAGCACCGGCATGGCCTGGGGCAGTGGGGAGGTTGGAATGAAGAACAGGAGCGCAGCGAGGGTGAGGTGCAGGTGTCAGTGAGACCTCCTCCAGATGAACACCACATTTCCCCCCACCAGGCACCATCACCACCCAGAAGATGTCTCAGGGAGAGAGTGGGTAGCAAGGCTTGTTTTGGCAGCGGGGGAAAGCAGGAGAGGGAGAGGGAGACACTTACACGGGCTGGGATGTGCTGTCGTGCCTTCGCCTGACCCCCCAGGCTGCCCCCGAGCTGGATGGCTGAGCATGGCCTGTCTGCTGGGCTGCCAATCTGGAGTGCCGATGACAGGAGTGAAATAAGGAGAAATACTCCGAGTAGGAGAAACAGGTCATGCTGAGGCAGAGACAGAGACACACATCCACAGCGACGGAGCGCGCGAGCCCGCCGGTCTGGGCTTTGAATAAAAGCAGATGGCCACGGCTTGCTCTGCACTGGATTCAGCTGCTCACTCGGCTCGAGTTTATTTTTGGCCCTCTGAGGAAGCGTCAGGGGATTCAAATGACCATATAAGACAACAGTGTGGTTAACCCTACCAGCACCACACAGGAAGCAGGCACAAAGCGAGGTGAGGTGACATTCATCACCTCCAAAGTGACATGCAAACAGGTCAGAGGTGGGGGCAGAGGAGGACCCAGAGCCACTGGATGTCAGCTCCATTTTCATCTCTGCTTTCCCAGGTGGCAGAAGAGTTCAGCAACGCCACAGATTTGGTGCTACAAGCTCCAAAGGTTTTCCCTCTGGTGAGAGGTCAAACACTGCTGGGCTGAGGCAGGACAGGTTAATGCACAGAACTGCTAATGCTGCTTTTTGCCAAAATAGCAGGTGTCAAAGGACCTTCAGCAAGGACAGGACCAAATAGCCAGGGAAGCCCTTATTCTCCCCTGCACTAGGTGTCTACAGGAGAGATGTAGAGGCACACAGTAACCACACCCAGAAAGCACAGCCTTTGGTGGGAGCAGGACTGCTGGCTGCACAGCATCCTGATTCCACAGCTATGCTGCTCATCAAATTGTCCCCAGTTTCCTAGTCTTGGAAACCAAACAACCACAGGTGGTAATGAGCAAGGCATGAGAGGGTGGTGGAGTTATGAAAAAGGAGTAGGAACAGAACATCAGTAACTCTGTTTATTAAAAAAGGAAATACTAAAGTAACTTAAAAGATTAAAAGGGTATTTTTTCCTTGCTTTGGAGGTGACTTTGCAGTCCATTACCATCCCCCTTGAGAAATTTGCCTTTTATAAAATGAAAGGGGAACAATATCTGAGTTTGAAACTGTCAGCAGGTCTCTGTGACCACAGCTCAGCATTGCACGGGAGAGGGATGCTGCCACGATTTGGTGTCTGGAGTTGCTCTTGGTTAAGAGTGGTGTGCTTGAAGTCAGACTGATCTGAAATAACCACAGTCTTAAAAAACTTAGGTATTTAACAGGTAGTCAGGTATCACTGTTTTATATACCTGTTTTTTGTGCCTTTCTTACATTTTCATATAACAAATGCTTTGCTTGCTCTCTGGCAAAACCTAAGCTTGGCATAGAGTGGAGGAAAGGAGCAGCTGGCCTTGGGAGGGCTTCTGCTGTTCGGGAAAGCTTGTGGCTGTGCCCCTTTTTTTTTGTTTTATTTGTTGTTTAAAACAGACAACATTAAGCAAACCCTCCTCTTGCTGTGAGCACGTAGATTGTTGACCTCATTGGATTTATAGCAGACTCTGGCTTTGACACTAATGACAGACTCGCAGAGCCTGGCAGAGCTAATTAGAGAGCACGTGCACTGACAGGGAGCCTGTTTCCCCTCCTGGGCAGGGCTCTCTGGGGGAACACCTCGGGCTGGCACTCACTCACCTTTGCCAGGGGTAGATGCGGTAGGGAGGGTTGTGGGGGCTGGCACGGCTCGGGGAAGCCACCTCCCCAGCACGGGCCACCAGCGACTTCTGGGGGCTCTGGGCTGCTGGCTGACCTGCTGAGTCCTCTTCCAAGCTCTGCTGGATGGCCATCTTTATAAGCTCATCTTCACTCAGGCTGCTGTACAGACTGTACTCCTCGCAGCCTATCGTTTGTCTTTGAGTATTTGCTGCCGTCGTAGCCATTTTTATAACTCTTTGCTTTCCTGTAAAAGGAAATTGTGATCATCAAAATCTGGAAAATGAAAAAACCTCAACTATCTTGTTGCCTCTTAATTAGGCTGACCAGAAAACCCTTCAGAAATCCTTCACCAGGGAGAGAATATTATCAGCTAAATTCAACGTGCAAATTTAATGAATTAACTCATTTCAATTATACAGAAATAACTGGTTTAGCTGGTGTTTAAGAAAGGGGGAGTTGTTGCAAGCAAGGCACGTTTTTATCTGCTTATTCTGGCTACCACATCGCAAGAGAAAAATAGGTAAAGGAAATCCCCTTAAGATTAAAGAGACAAATTTTTGAATTTTATGTAGGAGAAGACCAATGGATGTCTCTTTTTGTTGGTTTTATTTCTTGCTGTAATTGCAGGAAATTAAGGGAAGAGGTTTGTCTCTTTGCTGGTTTTCTGTAAGGATGGGTTCTCCACCATGAAGTGCAAAGAGGCTTTGTAATTTTTTCCACCTTATCTGGAGATCTCTCAAGCAACATACAAAGCTATGCTTTGAAGTGACTTTGTTTCACTCAGCGAGGAGAGCAACACCACACTGGTCTGTTTCACTTCTGGTTTTTTGTTTTTTTCACAGAACAAAGTTCAAGGTCATGAGTGGT